TGCGACATGTCGCAAACTACAGTTACAACTTAGGAAACTCCTCTCTAGTAGTATCCCAAGTCGAAAAATATTTAGGAGTCCTGGTGCCCCATGACTTAAAGTCTTACGCTAACTGTGACAAAAATGCCTTCCGAGCAAACCTTGCACTGGTAACGTTGAGGCGCATTTTTGGCCAGTTTGACGGAAGAACTTTCCATATAATCTTCAATAGTTTCATCCGTCCCCATTTAGAGTACGGAAACATAGTACTCCCCCCTCACTCCAAAAGGACAAGGTCACTTTGGAGCGTATCCAACGTCGAGCCACGAAATCAGTTCGAGGACTCAAATCTAAGCCTTACGAAGAACGCCTCCGTTCACTAGACCTTTACCCACTAGAATATAGGCGTCTTAGAGGTGATTTATTAGTGGCTTATAGTATTCTTAACACTTCTGGACATCCTCTTAAACACCTACTTAAGCTTAGTTCGAATAATAACCTAAGGGGTAACACCCAGAAACTGGTAACACAACATAGCAAGACGGAATGTAGACACAACTTCTACTCCTTAAGAGTTGTCAAATACTGGAATTCGCTGCCGGCCGAGCTAGTCCAAGCGACTTCTCAGGAGTCCTTCAAGAGGCAACTTGACCTATTCTTAAGAACCAAGGACAGCATCACACTATGATTTACCAATTTCTTTTCCTCTTTTATTGTTAACATACCTAGGTTCCTGCCTGGAGGATTTGGTGATCCCCTGCTACTAGACACGGAAGCCTGTTAAGCGAAAGCTTCTTCTATTCCGTCCACAACCATTTGAACCATTTTGAACATTTATCACGAGAACACGACTGGTTTAATAAAAACAATTATTACTATGACCAACTGTACTAGTGTTTGTTTTAATGTGCTTTTGTTTGACTGTGCTAATGACAGCTATATTGTGCTTCCATTCTTATTCCCACACTTTGATTGTGACCTCGCGCGAATTCGATTACGTTCTGTAACCAAGCTTGTATCCTGGCACGACCTCGGTATCCTTTCGATACCATGAGATCGCCAGCAAATATATCTCGACTTGGTCCATTAACTGCCTTCTGATATTTGGCTTCTCGGGGATTTTATGGATTTATTTGGTTACGTTCAACCTTCGCCTTCTGATTTATTTGGCACGTGTTTCTTGGTAGCGGTGTTCATAGTTAATCTCGACTCGACCCCATGCTACAGACTTGAGAAGCAGCCAAAACCCAGAAAACAAAGCAAAATGAGGGAACATTTTGCCCCAACATTCAGAGTACGACATCAACTTCTGCATTTTAGCACACTGAAACACTAAATTCTGTAGCTACACAAAAGAAATAGCTGAAAAAGCACAGAACGAAGAATGCCGACCGCCATTGCTTACAAAGATGGCGGATACAATAATTCCTGCCTCATTCTGATTAGTTGCTAAGCTGAAGGCCACATTTACGAAATTGAGTTGAGTCTGATAGCAGCCGTTAGAGACCGCATTCTCACGTCCCAGTCAGCAGCACGTGTCATCTGCACCATCGACGGACGAGACTTCAGTCTCACGTCCAGATCAGCAGATCACGCCGCCCTGGACTTCAGATGAGATTGCAGGCTCACGAGGTACTAACGAGACTGCCGCCTAACGTTCCAGTCGCCCAGTACGCCTATCCGTACGCTTTCACGACTAACCGCAAAATCAACACCGGATACGGTGTAGGACTATTCCTATACTACATGCATGCTACACCTGTTCTCCTTTTCTTTGATTTTATTTGTATCCTGAGCCCACGCCTCCGACCATCTCCCTCTTGGTACCGTCGACTTCAGTCAACCTTGGCGAAAGCTGGCCTGATCGCTCACGCTCTTGTCAACGCACTCAGTCGATATTCTGGTTTCGAATTTGTCTGGCATATGTTTGGTCTCGCGCTTGATTGTTATGGTCGCTTCTGTTTTCTTGGCTCAATGTGGTTCCGTCCTATGTCTGCAGCGTTTTCTGGTCCGCACCACTGCGAACGCAATCCTCAGATCCTGGATACAAACCACTCTAGTGTGGTACACTAACTCGACCAACAAATACGTCACGTTGCTCCTGGTACCGTTCTGCGTAAAAGACCTTCGGTGGCAACTCGAGGATCAACGATCGCCTCCTGCTCTGCCAACCCTCTCGTCCTACAATTACCCGTCTACCGATCAGTTGTGATTGCACGCGCTCACGTTTGCTCGGTGATTCCGCTTGTACTCTTTCGGCACGATCTCGGTATTCTTTCGATACCACGAGATCGCCAACAAATATTTCTCGCTACAACCTCCAGTCTCCTTCTTATATCTGGTTCGCAACCTTCTTGTAGTGATTATAGTCAACCGCGACTCGACGTCACACTAAATGTGTTATCTCCAATAATTTTATGATCAGTGTACCTTATAAAATATCAAACTAAATGAGCAACCCACCACAGCGAAGACTGTATCTTCTGCGACAATTTGATCTTGCCTGTAAAATGGCATGCCTCATGTACCAGCCTGTTATTTGAGAATGAATTATTATGCTGATGATCTGTTTGATATTCAGTGACCCAATTGCCGGATGATTTGGCTAGGGCTCAGTGACATCCCACTGACTCCACAACACTCTCCCGCCAGATTCAACGGCTGTTTGAATCGATACCAAATATGTTGGCGGTAGTCGCGCGCCGCGGTTTGCTAAACGACTGGTATGAATCTTACAGGTATTGCCGAGCTGCAAGACAACTCGGAAAAAGGCAGCAGAAACTGATCCGGAAACAGAAAGTAATAATAAGTTACTAGGACGATTACCCACAGAAATAATGGGAAAAACAATGTTTCGAAGATCTATCAAGCCTCATTGAAATAGATAGCTTTGACAAGTGATTGAGTTCACTAAATGAGGAACGTTAAGTTTACTGCAAGAATAATGATGCTAGAGTGATAGTACGATAAGTGTATTATGGATCGATTACGATGTTTGTACTACCATTGGTTTAAAGTCAGACAGTGTCGTTAACAGCCCCTGTTCTTAAGCGTTGAATCCTAGTTATATCTATTTTTCGTTGTGTGAAGCTATTGTTCATTCTATAGTCAGAGTTTAAAAGGCCAACGACTGCTGTTACAATTAGTAGGAGTCGAAGACTGCAAATCGACAGCAAAGGTGGCACGATGAAGTCTCTAAAAAATGATAAACAGTGAATAATCCATGTCTGTTTGATAAGTGAACGGAAAAAATGACGAAAAGAACATAGGAAACCAAGAGTATCACTCTGGACTTATATCAGTGATACTGGCGTAAAAACTCTGTCAGTGTCGGGATAGAGACGACAATGTCGTTTTCAATCTATAGGAGATTCGCTCGACTGTGTAAACTGATGGTACGCGCGAAAAAATGTATCGTTAGACCACCAATTGCACTGGACAGCTTTAAATCGTTGAGTGTTTGGATAGTCAAGTGATGTTTGAAATCGTTCGTTGGATAATAACTACTAGGAAAAACTACTTCGTAAAATGATGTAGGACGTCGATGTTGAGTGACTACAATAGTTAGGATATGTTATAACGTCACATTGAAATAACACCGTTTTTACGTATACAGAAAGTTGCACTGAATACCCAGGTATTTTTAGTGTAACAGTTGGATGTGTGAGTGAAAATATATATGAAGAATATGGTGGGGTTCTTGAAGAATTTCAGATGTCGTTTAAATGTTTTCCAAGCCCGTATTACATGTAAATAAACCGAAAACGGAATTAAAATGACTGACATGTAATAGGGAAGCCTATGGTGAACATTGGAAGAATTGGTAATTACCAATGTAACTAAAGTCTAGAAGGTTCAGTTAACATGACCATTTCGTAAAAGGCTGATGAAAAGAGCTCATTATCTAACGTAAAGTGATATATTACGTACGACGAAGTGTCTAGTTAGGACATGGATTAAGATTGCTCGTGTACATACAATAAATTTTTCCACAGTATGTTGGCTAACAAGTGATAAATGTGCATGATTTCGACTAAGATTTGACGGCAGTGACGGAATATATGACTACTCTGTGTGAAAGAAACCACGAAACGTTATTATGCACCGAAAACATGGTACAAAATTATCTAATACAAGTATGAAACTCCCCTGGGTTACCCTTGCTTCCAAAAAATGAGAATTTGAGGTAGACATTATTTCAACTCTGGATTATATACGAGGTACTGTTGATTAAATTCTTGGATTAACATAGTATTGTAGACTGTATTTGTATAAGCACAAAACCAGTTTAAGCCAAATACGAAACATTAACTGATAAGCAGTCTAAAAGAGACCCAGGGTTGTAGGAAATTTACGGTTCAAACCCACAGTAACTTTTTAGCATTCGTATCCTCTGTTTGACCAAGGATTTCAGCAATTGAAAATTAGGCAGGCAGTGGTCAAGCAAGTAAAACATTCTATTAGATAGTTTCTGAAAGATGGTTGATAACCATTAAGCAGAAAGATGAATTTATGATCGACAGTTAGTCTTGTCGTGCTTATACAAGTGGGTAAGTTACAAACAGATGTGCGTTCTTGTTGCCTTTTGGATATACATCCGATAGGTTGGTAATTTAACAGACAAATCTTGACTGGAAACTGGCATGCCTCACGTAACCAACTGTTATTCGAGAATATATTATTATCAATAATATTATCATGATCTTTTCGATATTCACTGACCCAAATGCCCTATGATTTGGCTAGGGCTCAGTGATATTTTGCGGAACCTACGTTTACTCTTGAAGACTGAGAGTTAAGGCTCCGAATGTATTTCACAAATCACAGGTGAAAGTCAATCGAAAATGATTTCTTCATCATGTCCAAGTCTCACTACAAGGACTGAAGAAATAAATAGATGAAATCTTGGATGGTTATTATGTTGAGTGGGACTATAAAGAGTGAAGATGTTGAAGGTTGAAATTTGTTTGAACGCCTTATGATCTGAGTGTCCAGCGTCATTCAGTAGTTAGAGCGTGGTCATGAGGTGAGCATCGTTTTTATGGTGATGATAGCTTCCTGAAGACTAGTGATTGTTCCCCTCTAAGAAGTTCTGACATTAATATGTTAAATTGCGCTAACTAAGTTTTTCTCTTTTAGTAAGGTACCGAAGGATCTTCTGCTGCGGTCATGTGCTGATATTATTGATTACAGCAACAAAGTGAAGAAACGGAAGTTTACCGAAACTGTTGAGCTACAAATAGCGTTGAAAAACTATGACGTTCAGAAGGACAAGAGATTCACCGGGACTGTGCGGTAAGTTTATGAACCCCTACCCAGGGTTCTAAAATTGTGTGGGGAGGCCGATCGCCGCATATTACAAGTCGGATCTTATTGTAGACTAAAGCACATTCCACGTCCCAGAATGTCTGTGTGTGTGCTTGGGGACGAACAACACTGTGACGAGGCCAAAGCAGCAGGAATTCCATGTATGGACGCGGAAGAATTGAAGAAATTCGGCAAGGAGAAAAAGCCGTTGAAAAAATTCGGTAAGTTGACATTATGCACTAATGTTTGCAGCCAAGAGTTATCACGCTTTTGTCGCTAGTGAAACCATCATTCGTCAGTTTACAAGGACAGTGGTTCCAATCCTAACCAAGTACGGAAAGTTTCCAAGTGCAGTCACACACAACGAGCCACTAATGAATAAAGTTGACGAAATAAAAGCTACAGTCAAATTCCAGATGAAGAAGGTTCTCTGCCTGAATGTCGCTGTTGGCCACGTAAAAATGACTCCTGAGGAGCTGGCTCAAAATATCAACTTGTCAATAAACTTCCTTGTAACGCTATTGAAGAAGAATTGGCAAAACGTCAGGTGTTTGTACATTAAGAGTACTATGGGTAAACCGCACAGGTTGTACTAAATACAATTATAATTGGGTACTCGTTACTTCTCAACAAACACTTTAATCATCGGTTCCTGCTATGCTGCAACTTTACGTCGGTTATATGGTACGAGGTGATGTGCAATTAGGTCTGAGCAGTGGATGACAGTGCATTTAGTGTATCTTTCCCGTCAAGTTAAGTGACTGTCGCGACTTAAAACCTAGTCGTATCACAGTCCGACACGAGGGCAACGCGTTGGTACTCCATATGGGTGAGTAAAATCATAGGTGTGTATTTCATGTTCTGTCAAATGTGTTGGTGATTCCTTACTACTCAACATGACTCATGAAGAGTGGCTGCAAGATGGTCATTGTCCTCCCGTTCTGTGTAACAGGGTGAAAGCGTATAACAAAGCCAACCATCTTAGTTGTGAGGCCAAGTAGGAATAATTAGTTCTCTCCTTCGCAACTGTTTGATGCGGTAACCAGCCTCAGTTTTACACGAAGTCTCCTAATTTATGTGTGTCAGTAGGTTCTCAGTAAGGACCGCTCGCCTTCCCTACCCACTGTCACAGACTGACGTTGATGAGGTTCCGAACTTGATGCGTAAGCCCATTGGAGGTGATATGTTGTGAAACCGTCGAGGGAGTAGTTATTGGTGATCTGTGGGGATAGGGTTTGTATGTGGCTGTTGACAAGCTGCAAAACTACAGGAAAACGACTATGATCCTCCCTGGGAAGACGAACTGAGACGCCTCGATCTACTTCCGTGATATCGCAGGTACGCTGTCACCAAATACTATCATCGTACACTGGACGTTGATTTTCATATTAATCTGTGTTGTCTCTTGCCTTCACATTCGCCGGACCATCAAGTCGTTTATGTCTTGGGTTTCGTTCGCCACATTAGTCGATAAAACGTTTGCTTCATGTAGTCATCGTCCGGATTATTCGTCACAGGTCATAAATAAAAATGCTCCCAAGCATTGTATACACTCCTGAGACCTACCTGTTAATGGGGCAGAGTAATTTACTGGTGTGTCTAGATAACGTTTTCGCACGCGTTTCATTTTGTGTCGTGTAAGTCCCTGGATTTCGTGATGTGTAATGTATGTGGTTTTGTGAAAAATAAAACAATTATCGAACTAGTTTATACTGCTAAGGTTTGTTAATCAGTCGACATTCCGTACGTAAACTGCTGTAGTTCCTTTGTTAAGTCGAGATAGCTGAAATAGTGCGCAAACTCAGCTTCCGTAGGCGTAGTAAAAATTCAGTACTGTAGTGTCTGAACGATAGGCTTCCCAACTACTGAGAGTCCATATTGTACGAATTTAATGTATGATTAGGTCCGAGTTTTTAAATGTCGACTACTTATTTCCCGTCCACGGGTTTGAGTAACAGGATTTCAGCCTAGGCGGTGACAACGGTCATTAGACATACGTACGTAATCAGTCTCAGCGGTGAGATTACTTAAGATTTCGAGTTCATTAATATAAACAAACTTCGTTTTCAATACTATAGTGTTAATATATTGACTACTTTCAAATAAAGTCATACATATATCACATTCGTCAACATGAGGAATTCATACGACGGCCTACAGTGATTGGAGGACAGCTGATAGAAGTATTCCAAGTGAGGATGCGGGTCAGACGGCTGCTTACTCTCGCCCTTCCTCTTTCCTCTGGTAATTGACTATATTATATATATTATGACATTTGACAGGAAGCACGGAATAAAATAGACAGGTTGGATGCAACTAGACGATTTGAACTTCACAGATGATCTAGCTCTTCTGTCCGATACACACGAAAAAAATGCAGTACAGATAATTAGTGTATCAGCGGTAGGCCTCAAAATACACAAGAGGAAAACCAAGATCCTCAAATACAACAGGGAGAATACCGATCCAACCACACTTGACGAGTAAACTCTGAAAGAGGTAAAAACATTCACGCACCCATCTGAGCAGCATCGTCGATGGACAAGGAGGATTCGATGACAACGTAAATGCAAGGACTGATAAAGCAGGCACAGTACTACAGTTGAAGGACATATAGAACTCAAAACGACTGCCAATGAATATCAAAGTCATAATCTTCATTACGAACAAATTGGTTATAGGCGGTACAATATTTCCACACAAAGCTACATGGATATCACCGGATCACACCACAGATAACCAGACTGGTCATTTTTGTATCAATAAGAATTCAGAAGGACAATGGAAGATGCGAGAACCAGGAGAGGAGGTGACAGAGCTTCAGACCACCACCTAGTTGTGACCAAGATGAAACTGAAGCTAAAGAAACACTGGACAACTGGGGGCACAGTATTATAAAGGTTCAATACAGCCTTCATTCGAGATAGTAACAAGCCCGACGAATTCAAGACAACTTTCAACAACAGGTTCCAAGCCTTACAAGGTCCACTCAAAGAAGAAGAAACCACTATGGAGGGCAACCAGGAAGGGATCAAAGGAACAATAACTTCAACATGTCAGGAGGTTCTGGACCGCAACAAGCATCATCATAAGCAGTGGGTCTCTATGGAATCCCTGGACCAGTAATCAAGAAAGGAAAATCAAGAAAACAACAATCAACAACAGTCGGAAAACAACAAAGAAAGGCGAGGCGCAGGCCGAATACACAGAAGCAACAAGCAAGTGAAGATGAGCACTAGAGTCGCCAAACAGAAATACGTGGATGACCTAGGAACGACAGCGGAAAACGCTGCAACAGAAGGGAATACCAAACAGCTAAATGACACAATGAAGAGACTGGTAGGGAAACATAGTAAACAAGAGAAACCGGTCAGCGAAAAAGAAGGCAAGCCAATTACTGAAATCCAAGAACAGAGGAACAGAAAAGTGGAACACTTCGAAGAACTCTTGAATAAACCAGCTCCACTGAATCCACCACACGTCAAAACAGCACACACAGACCTTCCTAGGGATGTCACTCGATCAGCGAACGAAATCAGCAGGGTCATCTGGCAAATCAAGAGTAGGGAAGCAGCAAGACCTGACAATATACCAGCCAAATCACTCAAGTCAGACATAGAAGTAACTGCAATCATGTTCCATGTTCTATTCAGGAAGATTGTAGGGGAGGAACAAGTGACGACAGACTGGAAAGAAGGGTACCTCACCAAGAAAAGGAGATCTGAGCAAATGTGAGAACTATATAGGCATCACATTACTATCAGTACCACGAAAGGTTTTTAACAGGGTGTTGCTAAACCGGATGGATGACTTAATAGACGCCCAACTTCAATATCAACAGGCTGAATTCCGTAAGGACCGGTCGTGCACATACCAAATCGCGATGCTACAGATAATCGTTGAACGGAACTCGTCACCATACATCAAAAAATGCAGGTCGCGACAAAGTGTAGTAGCAGTAGGTCTTAACATACACGACGGAAAAAGCAACATCCCCAAACACAACTCGTAGAACGCCAACCCAATCACACTTGATGGAGAAACTCTGGAAGAGGTGGAAACTTTCACGCACCCATCTGGACAGCATCATCGATGAACAAGGAGGATCCGATGAGAACATAAAGGCAATGATTAGCACAGTGAGAACAATATTCATACAGTTGAAGAACATATGGAACTCAAAACGAATGCCAGTCAATATCAAAGTCAGAATCTTCATTACAAACGTAGAGATAGTTCTACTGTACGGAGTTGAAACCATTATCCAAAATGCACAAGTATTTATAGACAATTGTCTACGTAAGATACTGAATGTCTGTCGGCCGGATACCATCTACAACAACCTACTGTGCGAGAGAAGAAACTAGCTACCGGCTGGACAGGAAGCTAGGAAAAGACGTTGGACGTGGTTATGACACACATTGTGGGAATCATCAGACTGCACCGCGAGGCAAGTGCCAACTTGGAATCCCGAATGGGAACGAAAAAGAGGGAGGCCAAAGAACACACTGCTCCGAGAATTAGAAGCAGACATGAAAAAGAATAGCAACTGGGAAGGATTGCTCGGGACGGAGTTTGACGGGAAGTCCTGGTGGGTGGCCTATGCTCATCCATGAGGGGTAACAGGAGTAAGTAATATATCACATAACCTGATTACCAAGTAAATAAGAAAATCAGGTGTTCAGGATATCGGATAATCGATTATTATTCATGTCCATTTGAAGTAGTAATCTGAACTAGTCTGTTCAACAAGTTAACAAAACTCATATGTTGTGTGGTTTTTCATCAAAGAAAACTGCAGTTAGAACATTAGTGAGGTAAGTTAGGAAGCAGAAATCAATCTACCTCTTTAAAAATAATTGTATTTAATAAAAAAACCCAAATTAGATTGCACCATACCAATAAAATTCTGAGGAAAATAGAAGTGAACAAGATGAAGATGAACCAACATGTCAACAAATCAAGAATTAATTATTTTTCAGATTTCAGATGTAAAAGCTTGTATATGGAGTTCATATCCTCGTCCATTTTTTTATCTAACAGATTAAGTTCACTTTCACCAGTATTCAATAAATCTGACATTTGTTGATTGACTATCGATGCTTTTTGGAAAAATTCGTAAGTGCAATCGAGATGATCCTAGTATTTATGTATTCGAAAAAAACATTTGAGGTAATAATAACTGTGAAAATAAGTCTAACAAAAGAATGCATATGTTAACAATTGGTCGACCAATAAGTTCTTAGTGCTAACCTAATTCTTACGATCAGGTTGCAGCGTGGTCACTAGTTTACGTGACTCGAAATCTTGTGCAACTCAACATGCATACGATATCACAATGCTGCAAGTTGGTCGATATCACTCGATCGGCATTAAGTAAGACTTGTTGCGCACTTGTCGATTTCTAATACTGATATTATCTACCTGTTGTGAAAAATGAGTCATATTAAATCCAAAACTATTCTACCGCTTGAACCAATACAATCTAGAGAATAATTGAAAATCAGGGAATACTGGACAGGTATTTCACTTTATTTTGAGTTAGAAATGATCAATGCAAATTCTACACAGGTTTGAGCTTATCGCTGTCAAGTGATGTAGGTAACATGCATGCTGCCACTATACTCATTTAAAGTTAGAAACCGGCGATATGTATCTTCCTAACTTCAGTCAAACTATAACTCAAAACAAAAGGTACATAATGTAGACTTCGACTCTGATTATGTGAACATCATCTCACTGTATGATGATACGCATGCTGCCCAACTTGATCATAATTAGTTGGGAATCAGTGTCCTTAGGTACAGAGTATATGAATCTTCAAAATCTAGAGTAAACCCACAAGACTTATAGAAGCCTGCAAGTACACTTTTTATAGTGAACCATTAGAAATGTTTGTAAAGTTCGCGCATGTAGGTACAGCGTGAACTAGAACAGTTTATGACATTGTGAGTTAACTTTGGCGTTGATGTAATGTTATTTTAGCTGTAAAAATTCTCGTTTACAGTGTGTTAATCAGAGTAGTTTTAGTTTATCAATGTAAAACCTGGCTCCTCCAAGTTCAAGAAATTCGGCAACCTTGTGTTCGATTATTGCTTTTCACATTTAGTGACAACATTGTGTTAGTAATACATGGGCCCAGTAGTGTGTATTCAGACGGTGATGACAATTCAATCAGTGTCACCAGCTTAAAACACTGACTTCGGTGACTTAGCTATGTTTTATGAATGTCACCCCACCGACTGCCACACTATTTGTCGATACTGGGACTGAGTGGAAAAGTGCGTAAATGTGGTATATATATAAACTACCTTAACTGAGTGGGTTTCTTAAACTGTATTTCTCAAATGCACTGTTTATATTGTCAAATATTATTTCTGTTCATTTCTTAGTCGATTATACTACCCATGGTGTATTTATTTTTCACAATGTTATTACGATATTTTCATGGGAGATTTTTTATATTCCAAACATGTAAAACTTTTTGTCATATATAAGTACCACACTATTCAATACGATTGTTTGGATTTCGATAATTTCTGATTTTAATTTGAAATAAGAAGATACTACCTATTTCTACAGACTATAAAAAACATTGATCAGGTTATTTTATTTAAAGAGTGTGTCACTAATAAAATAATCATTTTAAACTATAATTTCTTTTAGTGTATTAATTTTGTAAACGTAATATACACATTGAGACAAAAAAAGATTGGTTGGGAAATTTCTCTTTACAGCGAATTCATATTCAAAGCTGTATAGTCACAAATAAATACTTATTTCACAAAATGATAATAATAACAGTATGATTGATAATTAAATTCTTCTAAACATGGTAATAGTGAGGTAAAACAAATGAAGGCATAAACATATTATTTTAATTAAGGTATCTGATAGTAATGTTGTTGTTGAGAGGTTGAGTATTGAACATGAGGATCAATAGGGAAATTATAATTGGAAAGGGAAAGTTCCAAGTGATAAGACGAAAAATTTGAAATTTAGATGAACTGTAATCAGGAAAAGTATAGAAATAGAGACAAATCAATTGGGGTTAAAAGGTCTGAAGAGAAAATAACGTTTTACTGCATTTACCTATTGAACTTCACTGATACAAAGTTTATCAGATTTTTATCACTATTATTGTTATTAATTATCATTTTGATTAATAAGTATTTATTTGAGTCAGTATAGCTTCAAAAATGAGTTTGCCATAATGAACTCTTCGATGAACCAATCTTCCTTATTTTATTAGTTTTGTACTAAGGTACTCAATAAATGACTGACTTCTCATATGGAGGCTCAAATACAAAACACGACCAGATATTTGTATAGTTTTAAAAGTATTAAGTTAACAGATTTAGGCTAGTTTAACAGAAAAAGCATTAAAACGATTTGAAGCCGAAAAAGTACTCAGCACTTAATTTTATGAGCTTCAACTAACATGATATTCAAATACAACCCATCGATTTCTATTCTTGTCAGTAAACTCGATGTGCAGAATACATTGGATGTATTGGTTCACCAGGAATAACGGAGGTTCTAATTTTACGATTCTGTTGAATCTAAACAGTAGCAAAATTTACATAGAACTATTTAAGACGGTTCAGCAAATAAATTTTTTCTTCATGACATTATCTATTCCACCAATGCAATCATATTTTTATCTGCCAAACTATGATAATCGGTTATTTCCCTCCTTAAACTACCTTCAGTTCCTCTATTAACACTCAACACAGTGAATTATCATTATGAGGTGAGCAACTAAATATTTTTCATTATTCGATGAAACCCTTCACTGTCATAAAAACGGAGTGTTCTCATCTAAGAAATCAATAATTTCGCAATATTTTGCTAGTCATACATAATTCATTTACAGAACGTTCTAAAATTAAATCTAAACATACAGAAAGACAACGTTTTACTGATAGCCAACAAACATAAGCGACTTCTGTTCACCTTTTAAAATTTAATATATTAAATATATGTTGGCCGGAGGTCTGAACCCTAACTTACTTCATTCGGTCTAAATAACTGTGTACTATTTGCTTGGCTTCAGATAAAATACGTGGCCGGTACATAAAAATGCATTTAGTCATTGTTTCACTAAACATAACGTTCTAACAATATTCTTTCTTTGAAATAAATTATCAGTGCTGGTGAAAGGGATGAGGAAATGAATTAGATACTTACATGGAAGGATGACGATAAAAACACTTCTAACGTTGAAGTGAGATCTACCAAATTGACGTTTATTATGTATTCAATAGCGTGTAAACGACTTTTTAACGAATCAACTGATTGTGAAATCTGGAGATATAAGCAGTAAAATTGGTGTTACCTTTTTATTCCTTCCTGAAATTTCATTTCCATTCTCTGGGAGTTCTGGTTTCCGAATTTTTCGACATTTCCGGTTGATTTCTTTTAGAATTTCTTCCCTCTCAACAAAAATGTCGTTTATAGAGGGTAGTATGCCACAAATTCTAGAAAATACATTCGGAAATTACCCTTACTTTTTCAAAGGTTCCAGGAGTGATTGTTGGTTTGTGTTTTTCTAAGTTTGAGATATAAATATTAAGATTAGAAATATATACATAACATTCGCATATATTCCCCACTGAGTACGCTAATTCACTTGTTGTAGCCCAGTATTTGGGATCGACACTAGGATTTCGTAAATTTCGTGAAGTATTAACGAACTCCTCTTCTTTCTTAGTAAATTCTAATATGTTTATAAAAAATTAGCCAGAAATACATACAATACTCACCATCTAATGTCTTTAGCCAAGTGGTTAGAACACTAACCAACTTTTTAAACAAATCCGCTGGGCTTGAATG